TTCTGCAATCTGCAGTAGACTGATCTTGAGGCTGCAAAACAGGAGGTGAGTGCTGAACAATATCATGAACATTGTTATCAACAATTTAGTTTCCTAATCATCTACGTGCTCCACCTGCACGCTAACATGTTGCTGCTCCTCATCAGAACCAACTGGAGAAACATCTGTGGACAAGCTGTCATTAAATATAACACATTCATTGAAAACAACGCTCCTGCTCATGAAAGTCTTTTTAGTTTTAGGATTCCATAACTTATATCCCTTAACTCCATAATCATAACCAAGAAACAGACACTTAATGGCTCTAGGTTCTAGCTTTCCATTATCAACATGAGCATAAGCAGTGCAACCGAAAACTCTCAACTGTGAATAATCAGCAGGCATACCAGACCATACCTCAATGGGAGTTTTCTTATTAAGTGGGATAGAAGGTGACCGGTTGATCAAGTAACAGGCGATTAAGGATGGCAACGGATCGGGTTTGGGGCGGATATCCGCGGGTTTCGGGTTCTACGGGTTTGAGTTTGGGGATGGTTTTTTACCCATGGTTTTCGGGTTCGGGGCCCCGAAACCAATCGGGTTCGGTTTCGGGTTTGGTTTTCCACCCGTGGATATCCAATGGATATCCGAAATAAATCATTTGGAATTAAAACTCATGTTTTATAATATACTAATAATAATTTGTTTACTTAGATTATTAAATTTATTTAAAGTTGACTCATGAAAATATTTATTATTTGTTGTCTCTTGTTTATACATGTGAATATGTGTATATATATCCGCGGGTTTCGGGTATCCATTCGGTTTTCGGGTATCCGTTCGGGTTTCGGGTATCCGCGGGTTTGGTTTTGGTGATGGATTTCCACCCGAATCGGTTTTCGGGGCGGATTCGGGTTTCGATTTCGGGTTTCGGTTTTGGGCGCACGGAGACTCCACCCGATCCGAACCCGACCCGTTGCCATCCTTACAGGCGATGTTAGCAGTCTCACCCCAAAAATGCCTGTTCATACGAGCATTGGACATCATGCAACGAGCCCTCGAGATGATGGTTCGGTTCATGCGCTCAGCACAACTAAATCTTCATCATCATATTTTACTTTCATCGACACTAGGTCGGCAACGATCTCCTTAAAGATCGATAAGTGGTTCATCACCGAACCACCTTCTTGCAGCTTGTGCGTGAACAACTTCATCTTCACGTGCATCTTACTGGTTAGATCCTTGGACATGCAGATCGATTCCAGCTTGAGCCAAAGTTATGCGGTAGTTTTCTCCTGCAGCACTTCTTGTAAAATATCATTATGTAGATGAAATTGAATCAGAGACAGAGCCTTATGATCCTTTTGCTTCTCTTCAGTGGTCCATGACTTCTGTCATTTGCCTCCGAAACCATCCAGCGCCTCATCAAGGTCCGAAGATTGTGCCAAAATCGCCCGCATCTTGACTTGCCACAGCGCAAATCTCGTCTTGTAATCTAGTAGCGGTAGATCAAACTTCATCGATGCCATCACGAAACCCTAATGTGAAACCAAGCTCTGGTACCACTTGTTAGAAACGATAGGCAATATAAACAACGAAGAACAACAGATCAAACACAGGGGACATAAGATTTTAACGTGGAAAACCCTCCCAAGGAAGAAGAGAAAAAAAACACGGGCACCAGTCAACAAATCTTCACTATATCGGATGAGGTTACAAAAATCGGGGATTTACAACTTTTATTATCCCAAGACGATGGCTTACAGGAAGTATATATAGAGATGGAAAAAAACCCTAATAGGCGACGATCCATACCCGGTGACGGGCCGAAGTGAAGCGGAGTCTGAAGTTAGCCTTTATCTTGTACATAACTGAATTTGGATCACAACTCAACATGAGTACAGATAGATGATGATGATGTTGTTGATCATCTCTGATAATTTCTTCCACCGCTTAAATTAATACACTATATATAGTATTAGGATCCGAAATTAATCTACTAGTTAACTAGCTGTCTATACATATACAATATCTATCTATCCATCTAGATGTTGTTATTGATCATCAAGCCTAATAATTTAGGCTAGAGCGAGCGTGTGAATGAACTACGTTTTGTATCATGCATGTTCACACTATGCCTGCTTTTGTATTGTCACTCAAATATGATGAATCAATTAAGCTCATATATATATATATATATATATATATGTGTGTGTACATATATATAGCCCACTGTGTAGCATGCATGCAATAAATTGAGTAGCTCATGAATGAACAATAATCTTTGAGTGTACAGTTAGTTACTTATTGTGGATCGGACTTAGCTGCGTACTACGTATATACTGTTGCATGTAGTGTTTGCCTAGCTTGTGTACATGCATGCACATGCATATATGTAGCTGGCTGCATGCATGTCCTGTGCACAACATATATATGTACATGCATGTACAAAAGCAGCTCTATTTAAAGTGTTGTGATGACATTGCAAAGACTGTATAACGAATCGAAGACATGAAAAGCTGGGTGGTGTTGGTGTTTGGCGACGGCAAAAGGAATCAAGCGTGTGGCCCATGGTATGTGTTTGTGTAAAGTGTGTACGTGTACGTGGAGCATGCCGTCTGTTGTAGGGACGCCAATTCATGCAAAGCCGATCTGCTGGACAATCTTATCCCTTGCTTGCAATCTCTGTACCTGTCCATCTACATGCTATCGCTGTTGGGCTGTGTTAAATGAGTGTCTCCTTCGCTTCATACCACACGGGCACACGGCTACTACACTGCACGTCAGCACGTGCATCAATCGCTCGGTCAATGCGCGATGATCGGCTGGCTACATACGCATGTGTGTGTGTGAATAATAGCGTTACCAAATCTGTGGTACAAGACTACGAGTACTCCCTCCGTCCCAAAATATGTATCTTTTTCGCTTCTCGAGAAAACAAGTTTGACAAAATTTATATTAAAATATTAATATTTATGGTACATAATTGGTACTCCCTCCGTCCCAAAAAGTGATATTCTAGAATTTTTCAGACAAATTAGTGGAAAAGAGAAATATCCATAATACCCTTGGTTTTATGGACTTGATTTCCTTAAAAAGGATGTTCCGTGCTTTACTTGCCTAATTAACATGTGCGGCATGGAAGCATGCATACTTCTTGTGGGCTAAAAGCTTGTCTAAAGCTCAAAACACTATTTTTTCTGTGACAAATTTTAAATCACAGAACATCACTTTTTTGGGGACGGAGGGAGTACCATTGGAAAGATCTTTGAATCTAGTTTTTTAATAAATTTATTTAGAGATATAAATGTTATACGCATTTTCTACAAATTGACTCAAACTTACGGCACGGAAACCAAAAGAGGAACATAATTTGGGGGCAGAGTTAGGACAACTGAGACGGGGCAGATAGATAGTACTGGCCAGATTTGTTCAGGATAGTAGACTAGTTGGTAGCTGCTCTTATAACCTGATAATTTCAGGTGCAGTAACTAAGTCGAAGTATAGTGGTGAGTATTCCCGCCTGTCACGCGGGTGACCGGGTTCAATCCCCGGCAATGGCGTTTTTTTTTGTCTTCTTTTAGTCTCGCAAATGGCGTCGGGTTTTAACATACTTTTTTGTCTTCTTTTAGTCTCGCAAATGGCGTGGGGTTTTAACATGCCGTAGGGACCAGCATTTACATTATTATTAATTTAGTATTATCTAGAGACTCAGAATTTCAAAGGTTTTTTTTCCCGCATCGTCTGAACATTCACACCTACAACTACAACAGGACAACTCGAGTCTGCAGCTTTCAGTGAGAAACAGGCGAACAGCTACGTACGTACATCAAAGTTATGTATAAGAATGCATAAATTTCGACAACACTAGATTGATTACTACAGATTCAACACGGATGATGTTGTTTAGAACATCTACATATCGTTTGGATGGTAGCTTGAACAGTGTTTTTGGATTGTTTTGGATGATTGAATAGTATTCTGTGAGAGAGAATAAGCTGAAACAAGCTGAAACAAGCCAGAACTATACCAGCCGAACGCGCTTATTACTGACACTTTTTTAAAAATACTACATTTCAAATCAATGTGATGTGATTAACAATACGGCAATACATACTGGAGTAATTATTTACAGGTTGATGAATCAAGCTAAAAAAGAGACGGGTATGAATACTATATATAGCACCTTTATATTTTCAATGGAGTCAGTACTTCATCAGGTCAGATGACAAAGAGATGCCAAACTTTGTTTTCAGGCACGGAGTGTCTATGTGAAACCTATTCCTTGGTTTTGTTAGTAACACTTTGGTACAAAATATCCTCATTATTTATATACCTTTTATTTTTAGTAACTAGGTTATGTAAAAGCCTATTTCTTTTCTCGATGGAGATTTTTGTTTCTCATCTTCAATATGCAACAGTACATTTGGCTCCTTAGCAGTAGATTTCGGATGATTTCTCTTCAAATGTCCAGTATGTGTTCCTTCCGTTTCAAATTACAGGATATTTTGACTTTTCTAGATACATTGTTTTTACCATGTATCTAGACATAGTGTATATCTAAGGGCATAGCAAAAGCTATGAACCCATCGGATAATAATTTCTACAAAGTACATTTCTTGTATTTTCTGCATATTTAGAAATGATCCAAATCTGGACAATGAAGTCTGAAGTCACATTGCTTTCCCAGTTCAAAACTAGAAGATTTTGAAAGTAAATTCCCATTCACAGACATGAAACTTCTGGTTGTTTCTTACATATTCCTATCGTTTACACTGTTGTATTGCTGCATCACTCTCAGGTAATCTACTTTCTAATTATGTCTTCCCTTAAAACTACCATCATCACACCACCTGCATTGCAAAGAATCTGTTCAGAGTTGAGACTTATACAGCAGCAAGAAGGTCAAGCAAAAGAAGTCTTGTCATCACCATACCAAGTAAATATTGCATTTCTGTAATCCTGTATGAATGTACCACTCCAATCAAATTCCTATTTCTTATGGACTTATGCAGAACATACTACACCAGAACCTTGCTGCAAATGCCAAAACAGAAGGGGTTGAATTCATGTAGCTGTTAGTATATCACCAAAAGAACAATGCACATTAATCCACATAACAGGAAAATGCATATTGTCTCACCGAGCATGCCCTGATGTCCTGGCACCCGCATAACAGTTTACCATTGAGCAAGTCTGTGGCCTGGAATGCACCGCCTCCATCGCTTCTCTGGAATATTTCAGTTAAAAATAATGTCAGCCTCATCCTGTAGAAAATCTGAAAATGCTGAAGAGTGCTTCTGAAAACAACTAGAGAGAAAATTTCAAATGTTTCTAAGAAAGCGAGGTGATGATCTTCTTTCGAATTTCTCAAAATTCTTGTCAAAAGATTGACTTTCATATGCTAAGTACCTTGTAGTAATCAACTGCGATAAAATTAGCCCATCGATTCCCTGCTGCGCCATAGCATGTATTTATCATGTCAACAAGACTCTGGGAATGCTGCAGACATGCTGTGAACTTCACAGGGACCGATGGGAAGTAGTTCATGAGGACCAGCGATTTAGTGTTGTCATTGAGAGGAGCAGACTCAGCACGGTTTGAGCATTTCCCAGCATCCATCCCATCATCACCATCTGGGATCAAGAGAAGCATGTTATATTCAAGCATACCAGTGGCGTTTAATTGAACTGCAATCTACCAAACAAACAAAAGAAAAACAAAAACAAAACAGGAACCGATGCCTCACAATTATTCTCAACCATGAAATTCCACTGGTAAGCAATGCCTTCTGTACTCTGCTTCGAGCTGATGGAGGTGAACACCAGGAGGCGCTGGTTGCTCGCGACCATGTCGCTGACAAGAGGCCAGTCCTGACCGTTCTGCGGCATTTTTGACACCGGGAACCAGTACTTGAACAGACCAGAGGCATTGAACACATTTGTTAGTCCATTGGTCGTGTGAACGTAGTCTTCCAGGATTATCGTGACGATTTCGGACGGATTTGTCGAAAGGAATGCCTCGATCTCCTTGAAAGTGTCCAGTGCAGGTTCCTACAATGACCCCAAAGTACGGTAAAACACGGCGTAATCTGAAACGCCTTCAGTTGAGATGCTAAGCCATGTTCAGTGAATCAGTGTACTCACGAATGCGGTGAAGTCGTTGCATTTGCCTCCACTTGAATGGCACAACCATACGTCGTCTTTGAAGTCATATGTGTCGAGCATCAGTGCCCGGACTCCGTTCTGCATGTCATAGCAAAATGGCGCGAGAATGTGAATTCCATTCCGGGTGGAGAGATGTACATCAGGACATCTGAAATAATCGGAGAACCAGAAGGTACATTACATTCAACTGATCAGTGACCGTATCCTCCTGGTTGTCGAAAGTGACGCGTGGGATTCCGGTGTGCGAAGGCTCCCCGACGATGGCATATGAATTGTGCGTCGTGAGATAGGCATACTTGTTGAACGGCAACGAGTTGTTCTGCGAGCGAAACAACGAACCAGAAGCCAAATTCATTCGTTCCGTACATGGGAGAAGGAACATTAGTCATTTGTGCACATGATATCCTCCTGGATTAGTGAGTGCAAATGAATCTTTTTTTTTTTTGATATCCTGGATGTGCTGAATTGATTTGCAATTGATCGAGAACATATCTGGCGAGCCAGGATTCATAATAAACAAACAAAGGACACGAATTATCTAGAATCGTAAACCATAACTGCTCCCCGTCCGTTTTGCGGCAGTAGAAGAGAAGAAATAAGGCAAGAGAAACGAAGCGGAGGCCAGCGGCTAGGCTTACAATGAGCTGGAAGGGGTTGGTGGCGGCGGAGCGGACGCAGTGGGAGCCGGAGAACTTGGGCTCGCAGTCGAAGCACCACTGGCCGGCGCCGCAGTCCGCGCTCGTGGAGCAGGAGTCCCCCACCTGGAAGAACCCGCCAAGGCCCAAACCATTGATCAATCAATCCCATGGAAGAAAAAAGGAGAGGATTTTCCGACGGGTTAGTTCTTGACGTCCTCCGCCGCTTACTTACATTGGCAGCCGCAGGTCGGAGGAGGCCGAGCAAGAAGAGGAGGAGCAGGAGCGGCGGCGCGAGCAGAACCCGAACAGGCGCCGCTGTAAAGGAGCGGCCCATGTGGCCGTGTGGGTGATTGGTCGATCTCCTTTCCTTTCGCTGGTGCGCCGCGCCAGACCCCCTCCTGATTCCTGAATTCTCTGTTGATGAAAGGTGGAGAGAGAGAGAAAGAGAGCGAGAGGAACAGCGGCGAGAAAGAATAATGCCGTTCAGGATTCCTCAGGGTCTCCGTCGTCCACCTTGGACTAATCAACGAATCAATCGTCAGGGAGAGAGATTGTTGGGGAGGTGGTTGGAGTGGAGTGTTAGCTTTGTCCCATCCCACCATTTATAGTACTCCTATACGACTAGGACTGCCAGTAGATTGAGTACAGATCGCAGGTGGATTTGCAGCAACGGAAGGCAATGCTAGCTAAATTCAGACGAGGAATGGCCGTGCGGATTTGGCAAATACACTGTCAGTGCTCGTTGCCCATATAAAATCAGATCCTCCTGCAGTAACGACCGCGCTGCTGCTGTTATTGTTTGTATTAATAAATGAAGGATTTATTATTTTTTTAGAAAAGAAAGAAATTTGTTCGCGTCCGCCTGTGGCAGCTGCCGCCGATCTCATCATGTGAATGAAAGGAAGAAATTTCGTGGACAGAACAGTTGGCCGGTCGGGGTTGGTGTTGCTTCCAAGGCGGTCTGTTTGTTGGGTGGCCAAGACTCCGGTTTCGTCAGGTCGCTGCTGCTTGTTGCTCATTGCATTGATGTCGTCAAAGTCAAAGGATGACAAAAACGCAGCTGGGCCTGAGGTCGTCCGTCCTGCGAACTGGCCCCGTTCCGTAACAGTAAAAGCGGCTCTATCACGAAGTACTGTAGCTAGGACATAAGCGGCTCAGCAGCCGCAAGCGGAGTGTTTACTATCATTAAGCCGGCGAGCTTTGACCGCCAACCAGGGTGGCCACGTGGCCCGAAATTCCGCCCGCCGTCCGATTCGCGATCGAGGCTCAGAAATGACTCCGCCGAACGCTGCAGTAGATCCCCCGCTGCTTCCCGATTCGGCTTCTTGCCCCCTCCTCTCTCTCTTTCTTCGCTCGCTCTCGCTCTTCCTCCCGATGCGGACAGCGGCGACGACGCCAGGCGCATGCGGGCCGCGGCGGCCGCGCTCCACCTCCTCCTCCTCCCTCCCTCCCTCGCCTACCTCTCCCTCCGTTTCTACCTCCACTTCCTCTCTCTCCTCTTCCCTCCCGATGCGGCAGTGGGCGGCCTCCCGACGCTTCTCCTCACCCGCAGCGTCCCCAACCCGCCGACCGACACATCCGCCACCGACAGATGCCGTGTCCGCCTCTCCGCCCCCGGATCGGCACGTTGGCCTGGCCGGCCAGCCACCGCCGCGACGGTGACGCCAACCTAGGGTTTCGCACGCGCCTCAGCTCGTCGGCCATACCTCATGGTACCTCACCCTCTCCTCCTCCTAATCCGTCTCATCGCTCCTCACCAAGTCCTCTCTCCATCCCTCTCCCCTTTGCACAGGTGATTGGCCGACACTGCAGCTTGCGCTGCCTCCCTGGCGCGGCGGCCCTCGGCCGCGGCAGTCCCGGCGTAGGCGCCACTCATCGCGGTGGCTCTGTAAGCGGCAGCCCTGCCACGGATGCCCCTCACGCCACGGCGGCCTGGCCAGGCCCCAACTGCCGCTTTCCCGGCGTGATGAGACTGCCTCGCCGTACTGCTCACCGGCGCGTTCCTCCCGCAGTCCGCCTTGGATGCAGTGGCCGTACAAAACTTGGTCTTAAAAATTCAGGTTATGGATATGCTCGGACCCAGTCTTTGGGATGTCTGGAATAATAACTCTCACACGTGAGTCATAGTTTTGAGTCCACACTTGATATTGACTTTTAGTTTACCATTAACGTCGTTCCTTTGCTAGCAGAATGTCACCTGAGATGGTTGCTTGTATTGCTATTGAATCAATCTCCATACTTGAGAAAATGCATTCAAAAGGGTCAGTTAACACCACTGATTATTCTTTCCTTGTAACTCCTTATTCTCTATGTATTTCTTTCATCCGCTGCCAAAATTTGGGATTTCAGGTATGTTCATGGCGATGTCAAACCAGATAATTTCTTGCTAGGGACTCCTAGGACACCTGAACAAAAGAAACTCTTCCTTGTTGATCTTGGTTTAGGTAAGTTAATTTACTTTTTTATCGCTCAACCGACAGCATCTACGATTATTTGAATTTGTCTGTTCTGTATGTAGACAACAGATTAGGCGTGTAAATAATTTTGTATTCTTGGATCTTCAGATGGCAGCTACGAAGTGGAAGGATAGTGCAACAGGCCAACACTGATCTTGGTTTACGTAAGTTAATTTACTTTTTTATCGCTCAACCGGCAGCATCTACGATTATTTGAATTTGTCTGTTATGTATGTAGACAACAGATTAGGCGTGTGAATAATTTTGTATTCTTGGATCTTCTGATGGCAGCTACGAAGTGGAAGGATAGTGCAACAGGCCATCACGTTGAATATGATCAGCGACCAGATGTTTTCAGGTAACCAGATGAAGCTTTTATGATAGGCATCACTTGCATTACCCCTAGCACATAAATGATGACGTTGATTATCCTGTCACATTTCCTGTCCATTTGATGTTTCCCAGTAATCCTTAATCCAGCCATTATGCCAGAAATTACCGCTGCTGTAAACAGTTCACTTTTCAGCCAACCATTATTGTCTTCCATTTATTCTCTCCCTGTGCTTGCGAGCTTGCTTGTTTCCTTAGCCTTATATAATCAGTACATCGTTTTACTCTTTTTCAACATCTTGCTGCATTGAACTCATCTATTCTAGTCACTACCGGTGAAATGGTCCTGATTGGCATTCCTGGTGGTAGCCATTCTTTCACTAGACATGGAATCAGTCTTTTAGTCTATGTTGAGATGGTACACTCAACATATTGTCACAGTCTTGTTACGTGGGCTTGCTCATCACGGATAGGCAAGAGGAACATTTGAACAGTAGATTCCATTTCTGTTCGACGGCGAATTATTAGAGTAATGCCCAACACCCCTTTAACTGTTGGACAGACTGCATCATGTGCGATTTGCTGACAACCCATGAGTCATTTTAAACCTATTGATAGTAGTGAAATGCAGTACGCGATTGTTCAATGAATGAAAATTTGGTAGGCAGTCTCTGTCATCAAATTAGCTGGTTTGTGTACTTCACCGTTAAGATTTTACATTATCTTTTGTAGTGCTATACTAAATCAAATTATCAGCGGAAGTAACAACATGAAACAATACATGATATTTTTACTTCTCAGTCATGTGCTTGGGAGAGATGGCTACTCAGGATGATGAAAACTATGTACCGATTCAATCCCATTGGGATATTTCCATACAGAGATTAAACATGTTTTTTACCTGCGCCTTAACCAGGTGATTTGCCGGCGCGCGCGTAATGGACTAGTTATGCATTATTGCAGCCACTTCCCCGCTGCTGAGCCACAAGCCGACTGGCTAGACAGGGGATACGAACGATACCAACTCATATCGCTGCACCTTTCAAAAAAAAAAAAAATCGTATCGCTGCAACATCTAACGTTATTTAATATTCTACTTATAGTCTCGGTAATGATTTGCTACAGAACAATGAAAATACTCAAGAATATTTAGGTGATTTCATTTTTGTTAGGTGATTTTTTTTTTTTTGCTGACTTTTTGTTTGGTGATTTCATTCGGAACCGTCCTCGAGCAGTAGAAAATGTTTCCGGTTATAACTCTACAATTTTATGGTACCACTCACAAGACCATCAAAACTACATGTGCATTTATGTGTAACTCTTGATATATAATAGAGGCAAATTAACTAGAAGGGTACCCAAAAAGTTTATTTTTTGGGTCTGATTTAGATTCTAATTTGGCATGTTTTGGCATGGATTAAGGCTAAGAACTATTCCAGCTAATCAATGGTTAATACAAATAAGCCTATCATTCCAACTAGAATCGTCCCAGGAGAACCGTTCTAGAGTAAACGAACGAGTCCTTAATTAGTTGAAATCCAGCCTTTACTTATTTAAAAGTTTCTAGAACAATTATGTTGCCGCTCGATCTGCTCCTACCAAAAGGTAGTAAAAATCTAATAGAAACATAGCGGGCGGATGTGGCACAAGCACCGCTCGGATGGGGCTCAAGCACCCCTGCCACTTTCGTGACAATGAAACCTTTAATTTAGCCCTTTCTAATTTCTCTAGACACGGAAGAGGAAAATGAGTGGCTCCAGAGATTAAAAATGACTTGAACCCTTTGGTATGAATTCTAGATTCGTCGATGAGTGTATAATAGATGGAAATTCAATAAAACAAAAAATGTCCATAATGTTTTACTATGGCTAGTTCTGAATGGATATTGTGCATACAATTTACTCCTTAGGGTGTTCGACCGTTAGGACGATTATGTTACTCTTGGGACAATGTCTGACCCGAAATGCTCATGTAGGGCGTCCGACCGTCCGGACGATAGCTTCCTAGGCCTGTGCAACGGACGGGCCCAATAGGCTCGCGCTTCTCTATTAAAAAAACAGCTGCTGGACGCTGATTCCCCAATCCTCCTCGCTCACCTGTCGCGGCATTCTTCACCGCCGCACCACACCATCGATCGCCGTGGTAGATTCCACCGCGTCGCCGGCTGCTTGCCTTCTCTAGCGCGGGCCACTTGCCGCGACGTTCTCCAGTGCGGGGGCACCTCGCCTTGGACACGGCACCAGCCCGTCGCGACCTTCTCCAAAGAAATGGGGCTTCGCCGCGGGAGACCACACCGCTGACCATTGTTGTTGTCTCCATCACGGGGACCGCTCACCATGGGCGCCGCCACTTGCCGTCGAGCCCGCGCCACCGTGGATTCTGGCATGGTTCACGACGACCGCTGCGGCACACCCGGTGCTTACTTGGCGCCATCCTTCCTCTCTCCACCGCGTCGAGCCGCCTGCCTGCCGCCATCCCTTGCTCTCCACCGCACTCGAGTGCCGCTTGCTGGCTACCGTAGTTTCCCACAAGGTAGGCTATGGCCGTT